CCCCCCCCCCCAATCAGGCCCTAAGTCCCAGACAATTCCCAACCTGCTTTTTGTCACTAGAGTTATTCCCTTTACCAGAATTCTATTAAAACGGAATCACACTGTGTATAATCATTTGCACAATGCTTCTGAGATTCGCCCATGTGTATGTGTATTAATATTTTGTTCTTTTTTATTGCTGGGCAGAATTCTAATGTACGGACGTCTTGTAATTTGCTTCTTCATTCACAGGTTGATGAGCACTTGTAAGCTGTCCACGTTCTGGTAATTACAAGTAACGCTTCTAGGAACATCTGTGTACGTGATTTTTTGTGGATATGTTTTCGTTCCTCTTGGGTATTTACCTCAGATTAAGACTGCTGGTTTGTACGGTAAACAAATGTGTATTTAATTTATAAGGCAATGGCACAGGGTTTTCCAAAGTGGTTATGGCATCTTGAACCCCCATTAGACGCGTATACGAGTCATACTAGTGAGTGTGCAGTGGATCGTACTGTGGTTTTACTTTGAATTTCTGATACTAATGAAGTAGAGAACCTTCTCGCGTGCTTCTGCGCCATCTGTGTATCTTCCCGTGAAGTGTGTCAGTTCACGTTTTTTCCCACTTTTTATTGGGTTGTGGGTTGTTTGCCTTGTTATTGACACCGTTAGACGTGTATACGAGTCATACTAGTGAGTGTGCAGTGGATCGTACTGTGGTTTTACTTTGAATTTCTGATACTAATGAAGTAGAGAACCTTCTCGCGTGCTTCTGCGCCATCTGTGTATCTTCCCGTGAAGTGTGTCTGTTCACGTTTTTTCCCACTTTTTATTGGGTTGTGGGTTGTTTGCCTTGTTATTGAGTTATAAGAGCTCTTAAAAATTCTGGATACAGGCTCTTTGTTGAATATGTTTTGTAAAAACATTCTTTCGGGGTGTGCCTAGTTCTGTCATTTTCTTAGCTATGTCTTTCAAAGAGCATAGTTAAGAAAAAGTTTTCAATCATGATGGAGTCCATTTATCACTTTTTTTTACCCATTGCATTAAAAAAAATTTTCACGTCCTAGGTTTTGGGAGGCAGCAACCAAAGTGGAGCTGTTTTGCCTCTGCCAACTGAGAAATGAAAACTGAAGTCAAATCTGAAGCAGATCTGGGTGAGGGGGTCCATGACTGCCTGTGATTATTTTTCTGGACTTTGCCATATGTTTGAATCATTACAAATACATACATCATTTAAAATCAAAATGTTTCCTAAAGGTAAAAAAGAATGATAAAAAAAAATCAGCACGCAATTGTTCAGCACTTAATGATTTCCCAAGCTCGCTTGTTTCACCCTCACGAGAAGCTTTGTAGCGGGGCAGGAGATGGGGCCTCCTGGGCCACAGGGGGGCTAAAACATTGGCCCAAGTCATCCGTTTCAACTGCGTGCTTCAAGAAGATACAAAGGAGTAAAAACTGTGCCGCTTTTTTTTTTTTTTTCCGGAATGCCAATTTTGACAAGTTCTCAAAAGTGACAAACGTAACTGCTTCGACTAAGAAGT